TCTAACCAAGTCCTTTTAGGTCAACATCTATCTTTCTTAACATAAGTCAAATCTAATACATCTACTCTCCTAAACGGTTCGTCGGAAGGACGTCATTTTATGTGGCCAAACCATCTCACACGACTCTCAAAAATATTTTTATTAATATTCTTTAAATGCCTTCATATAATCTTAGAACAACGTTTAACTTTATTTTCCATATTTTAACCTTTCATCTTAAAATTCAAAACTAATAAGCGATGTTAGGTACATAAACTTTCACTCATAAAAACTTTACAATATATGTAATCTAAGCAACCTATTTTTCTTATAAAAAAATAATCAATCTAAATTTTACTATATCAATTGTTATAAGTTATGAGATGCTCATCTCTTTTCTTAAATAAGAAATTAGCAATTACAAAATCATAAGTTATAACTAAATCTAATATAGTCTTACCATCTTCATCAGTCGCTCTAAACCCATAGACACCATAAATGTTTTTAAAATCATCTAGCTCTTTACAAATATGTACAATTAAATCCACCTCTAACAAAAAAATTTTCTTCAAGATGTATCTTTTATATTAATTCTACCAAGTCATTCTAAAATTTAATTTTAAACACATTCAAACATACTTGAGGAGCATGACCACTTATAATATTAATAATCATAACATCAACAACAATGTTTAAAGATATAATTTTATCTTCAATTTTATTAATTTTTATAACATTATCCTTCAAACTCCTATTAATAATCACACCTACATCATTTCTAGTACGACTCCTACCATAATACAATAGTTTAAATCCTGTTGACTGTAACTGCTCATATCACCGACTCCCTCACCGACATACTTGACACAACCGACACCGGTCCCACCTCACGACGCTTCATCCACCGCCTCACTCACGACATAAAAACAACACCCTCTCCCATTCGGACGGTTACGCACACTCACGAACCGAAGGAAAGGAACACAGAGAAGGAGAAATCGAAGCCCATACTTGCGCTCTCGTTCGTCTCCTCCGTTTGAGTCAACTTACCTTTTACTCCCGTCGATCCCGGTCTTCCACCGCCGCCTGCCGACGCCATAGAACCCGCCGCCGCTTGCCGTCGAAAGAAGACTCGCCGCCGGGACCCGCCTGCCTCCGGCCAGACAGCCTCAGGCCGCCCTCCGTCGCGACCAGCGTCCGAACCTTCGCCAGCCTGCTCCCGAGCCGGTGCGTGATTCCTCGATCCCATCTCCTTGGCCCAATCATGCTCCTGCCCGTAGCCCATAATGGCTCTTTTTCCTCTCTATTTATCTATATAATATATGTATTTATAATATAATATATATATATTATTCTATATATTATATATATATATCAATATATATATATATATATATATATATATATATAGTAGAAATAAATATATATAAAAAAAAGAGAGAGAAAAAGAGAGATGGAGAGAAATAAAAGAAAATTTAATACAGGCTGCGGACCCGCGTCGTCGTACCTTAGGTCGACCGGGATGGTTTAAAATTGAAGACCCTATGCAATCGATCTTTGATCCTGGTGGGATGGTTTAAAATTGAAGACCCGAACGCAGTCGATCTTTGATCCTGGTGGGATGGTTTAAAATTGAAGACCTCGCGCCCGTTCGATCTTTGATCCGGGCGGAAAGACTACGCAAGTGCCGTCCCGATTTCTCCTCGGTGGGAGAGGAGAGCCGGGGCGCTGCCGAATTTTCAGTGAACAACAAAGGAATTGGACTAAAAAATCGAAAATTGATTTGAACGAAATTCAAATTTAAAATCAATTTTAAATAAATTTTGAATGAATAATGTTTGACCTACACTAAAAAATGAACTCAAATCTAATTTAATTCGAAATTGATTTGATATGTGGTTCAAATAGAGGTTTTCATCAATACCTCGCATTCCAAGAAATAAAATTATTTGATCCATTATTAATCATGAAGGTTTTAATTCATAAACAATTTGAAAATTAGAGAATATTTTAACTTCAAATTGAAAGAGTGATAATGGCATCTTGTTTCAAAAGTTGTGTATGTTAATCAACATAAAGATGCTTATATTGATTTGAAGGTTAATGGGTGCATAATTAGCATTTTAAATAGAAATATTCGAGTGCTAATATTTTATTCCATTTCATACTTGCCTAAAATTTTCTAAATGCTATCTTAGAAGACTCATGTCAAGGAAAGTTGCATTTGACATTGACAAGTTGGTCTGTATAAGATGAAAGAAATATGAGGATTACCATTGAGTCAAACACTCAAATCAAACTTACAAGATCATCTGTTGCAAGTAATAATGGCAGAGAGAAAATGATCTTATAGCTTTAGTGATAGATAATAATATTATCCATTATCACATAAGCAATCAACTATGGGCCATATGATATCTTGACATATATTCGATAATTTCTTAACATACATTCTATAGTCTCCTACGAACACTAGCACGATCTCCTAAAGCCTATTGAACAAACATTCCCTATGAGCTATGTTGAGTGGGATATTAACAACAAAGGGATATCTTCTATGTGCTACAAATGAAATCTAAATAAGAATAACGCCACCGGATCCGCAACATGTGTGCAAGCGGACAGAAGGCATTCGTAAGCCCCTTAAATGAAATTTTGGGCATTCCTAAATAAAATCACTCTCACATAATGGATCATATTTAAATATTTTAAAATACCCCTTTTGTATTAAATATTATCAATTAAACTAAATAAACCCCTGCATGTGCTCCGGCAGACCTATTAAAGTTACAAACACAAATAGTCGAGAATGCTGCGCAGGGTCAAATACTACAACCGCATGTGCTCCGATCGTAAATATAAATGTCAAATCCAACGATGAGAATTGTGCGGGCGTTAATATTCAAGTTTCATCCTCCTCCTTAAAAGACTGGAGTCGACACTACTTGAATAACAAAATGCATTCCAAAATTCTACAAATACAATCGACCTCAACTTCACCCGATGATGGCCGTGTTGAAATGAAATCTTAACCGAAGGGTCAAATTTCAAATCTCAAATGTCAAATCTCTAATAAACAAAAGTCCAAATCTTGAAATAAATCAATCATCTAAAAACTCAAAAAAAAATCATCCACCTCCCGCAACCGTTTGTCGGGGATGATAAATTTGAAATTAACCTCAGCTCACAAAGAGCGAATGCATGTCGGGTGTTATCAATACGATTCATCCTCAAACAGTCTCTTACCAACAGGGACGTGGGCTACCCTCTGATCGGGTGGTTTTGCCGCAAAATGGCACCATTATATTACGATCACGGCCAAAGCCCGTATGTTCCCTAAAGGCGTAACCCTTGAGCGATGGATCATAGGGTATATTCATAGGCATAAAGCTCTCTGTCAGCTAAGTGGATTCAGATCTATCCCCTTAGACAAACATCACCCCAGGTCTACAAGGTCCCCTTGGATGAAGCAACCCATGGCTGCCGACAAGGTGCCTTCTGTCAGGTTGGGTCGACTACCTCCTCTGACTAAGTAGACCAGGGATCATGACAGCCCGGGACGACGGAACCATGGGATCTTGATCGGGCTCGTCTTCATTCCCCCCACCACTAGTTTTAAGTTCATGGTGATAAACTTCAAATTCTAAATTTTAAAATTCAAATCCAAATTCAAGAGTTAAAACCCTAAACTATTGCTATTATATGATAGGTTTATAACCTATTCGACATCCTTAATGACTAGCCTTAATCGAAAGTTCTCTCCTATTATCAGGAGGGGTAATTAACTATAGGGGCTTGCGCCTATAGGAAACCAGAACTCAGATCAAAAAGTCCTCACTAAATGAGGGCGAAATCTCTGGGTAGTGTCTTATCTAAAACCCAATCTGCCTTCTGAAAATTCCCTCGGGATCACACCCAAAATGGAATTTTTCGGAGCCCACAAATCCTAAACTATCAATCCCCTTACCTTCTCTCCAACAAATTTATTTTTCTAAATGCATAGAACATTTATCTTTCTATGAATCATAATATCTATTAACTACATTAATTTGGCTAAAAGAGAACCTATTTTAAGTTTCAATCCTAATTTTAATTTCACGGACTAGCTTCTTTGTCGACATCCATCCATGATGTGGGACTCTTGCCTATTTAGCATTGCAACCAAGTGCCGGTGCAGCAGCCCTTGAACAGTTCTCACTTTATTCAACTAGTCAACTATCAAATAATCATAATATAAATCATTTAATATATTAGGGAAGCATGAAATCAAAAAATTAATAACTAAATGTACTTAAAATAACAACAATAGTTGTATATAAACACATAAATAGACACACATGTGTATGCCATTATATATGTAGCTAGTATACACATAAGCATAAACGATGATTCAAACAAAAAGAGAGCGAAAACCAAAAAAGATACTCATTGTGTCCCCAACAGGCACCATCTTTACTGATGCCCTTGGCGGGCGTCAACCCTCTTGGGACCAACATCAAGCACCACCACTCTTGACGTCATCTTATCAGTAAAATGATGAACAAAATAGGCTTAGATGAATTTTGGCATCAACCCAATGAACATAAACAAGAGCACCTCACCATGCACTACGAATAAAAACTGAGCAAAAAAATAACATAATTGGTTCATATATATATATATATATATATAGACACGGATTTCTCCCACAAATGACATGGCATGGGGCATGAATAACTAGGAGTAAGGTATGCAATCACCTAAGCTTTGCATCGCAACACATGTTTGATTATTCATGTATTTTCATACGAACACAAACAAATAAGAGAACTAACAAGACATGCACTATAAGGCTAGCATAAGGGTCAAAACATAAAACCTTTCACGTGTTAAAATTAAAGCCTCATTTCTATCGGAAGGATCAAATAAAAAATGTAAATCCATCCAAGAAATCATTGATAAGAATGCTGAAAAAAGTTATACTAAATGCTTATAGAATTATCTGCCAAACTAAAATTAAAAACAGGGTTGGAAGAAGTTACATCTCTGTTCGCACTGTGAGCATTCTATTGTTGCAATGGAACCTGAATCCCCTTGCAAATTAAGGACAGAACCGCAAACAGCACAACTACAATTAGGGCAGTACCAACTGCCTTCTGGAAGCTCCTGAATGAAATAAATATAACATTGCATTAAACGATATGAAATTTGAACTGTCATAAGAGTATCTTAGATATAAAAATGCATAAGATTACATTTCAAAAGATCGTGTAAACAAAAATGTTAAAATGTATGACCTTACTTGGACCAAAGAAACAAAAAAAATTGATGTTTCTGCAGAAGAAACACAGGATATGCCACAGTTTGCAACTGAAATTAAATGACTGAACCTGACGATTTATATCACACATTACAGATTGAGAAAATACATATATCAGCACCTGCCTCTAAAGTTGGCACTTTCAGTGTGGCTAGTCAAGCTTCACATTAGAATTACATTTCCAGATTTCTGGTGTACATGTAGAGCAATTTGAGAGAAACATTTTTTATGATTAAAAGATATGCAGATCTAGCAACAATTACAAATTAAACTCAATGGCATAGACTATAAATATATCATGTGATGAATTTTGTTCCATAGTCACTAGTACAGCATGATTTCTGACACAGCAAAGAATTTAGTTTACTAAAGCAATGAACTAAGATCAGAGGAATCTATGGAATTATTTCCCCTTCTTGGTTGGTGCCTTTTGAACCTTTCCTTCTTCCAGTGAAAGAACAAGGAGAAGCCTTTGGAGGAACGTGACAAATTGGTGACAAGAAAATATGAATTTCAGTACTAATTTACCTTTTCAGGAGGCATTGAATTTAAATTTTCTTATCTATTAACATACCTGTAAATACAAACAATCTTGATGGTAAGTAGATGGGCAGCTATCACAGCATATTAACTCACCACCATCAGCACAGAATCTACAGGCATCATCATTCTTGTCACCCTCTACTTCACTAGTTTGCAGATCATCTCTCCTCAGCTTGTACTCAGCAGACCAAGCCTGAAGCTGGCACGATATGTACGGTTTTCCAGACTTCAAAAAAAGATTCAGAGAGGGTTTCTGCACCTTGAATCCAGCATGCCTTTTAAAATCAGATACAGAAAGGATATTCTGGCAGCATTTGCAGAGAATTCCAGCTTTAGTAATCTGACCATCCTTAACCACTGCACTATTCCTTGGACTCTGGTACTGCATAATGTCACTAGGAGAAAGGACGCCCATTTTAATTAACCAGTATAGCACTGTCCTTAAGCCTTCGGATTTTTTTTCATTAGCAGAAATCTCCCCTGCTTTTCGACCACGTTCTATAGTCAGTCTACAAGATCTCATACTTCTTGGTTCGCTGGATGCTTGTGACTCAGAATTTTTTCCTCTAGTAGCCAAAGTTTTGCAACAAGATTTGCCATCCATTGCTTTTATTATGGGATAATCCAAAATATTATCAACCTTAATCTTGTGGCTATGCTGCCTCTTCCTTCCTCCTTTCTTGCACACAACAGTTTTCTTTACCAGACCTGCTCCAAGAGAGCTATCATCATTAATCTTGCCACTATTTTGTTTCTTCCTTCCTCTTTTCTTACACAGTCCAGTTTTCTTTACCACACCTGCTTCCTGGGAGTTACCAGGATCAGACATCAGCGCTTCATCAAAACTCTTTTCATGTTGAGGCCCTAGAGAAACTACACCATCCTCTGATATTGAATGATAATTGTTCTCAGTCGCATAACTATTATTTTCCTTCATTCCATTATTTTTACACAATTTAGCTTTCTCTACTTCATCCACTTCTTTGCTGTTGAGAGGGTCAGGAGATAGAGCTTCATTCTCTACAACTTCAAATGCACGAACTTGTGCACTAAAATCATTGCAGTGATCCTGGGCCTTTTTGGGCATTTTGGAAGGCTCTTCATTATGTTTTTCATGAGAAATATATTTCTTTTTCCCCTCTAAAAATAATTCCTCCCCTGAATTAATGATACCCTGGTGGTCAAGATGTGGGGGATCACTTTTGCAGTAATCTATAGAAAAGGGGAATGAGTAAATACAATTAGTATCTGATAATTTAGACATCAAGCCCATTGCATTTTCTTCTGTGGTATCAAGTTCAGAGTTCTTGGAGTTTCTGTGGGCTTTCCTCATGACTTCATTTCCTATATAATTCTTAGACTTCTTAACAGTATGTTTTGTCAGCTCAGCTACTGAAGTTCTCGTAGGTCTTTTTGGTCTCTGCTTTATTAAACTAATGGTCCGCTTTTCTGGATCTATTTTCCTAATTTTCAATCTTGAATGCCTGCAATTTCCATCTTTGGGACAACCGGACTGCTCTAAGATGCCTTGCTTTGCTAATTTCGCAATCAAATGATCATCTCGAGAACCAAAATCAATGATACTCCCTTGGAATGGAAAATCCGTTTTGTGTGAAGAGCTACTTAAGCCAAAAAAGTGATCAATATCTAAATTACTTGATTCACAAAAACATGACTGTATCTCCTGCTGCACATTAACTTTTAGATCACACGGTGAAACAAATGAGCCTATCAATTCTTTTCTACAGTAACCATCCCGGTTGAAGCAGATAGCTTTCTGTTTGGGGTGGAATAAAAGCATTTTCTGTCCTACTGGGGGATGTTCATCCGCCGGGTTTACCACAAATATGTTGCCAGTATTTCCAGAATCAGTCATGCTTTGTTGTCTAACTTCAACAAGCTCCTCATTTCTCTCATGAGTATTACAACTAGCATCTGTAGGCTGGAAATAAGAATCACCCCCAATTTCATCATTTTCTTGAAAAGATAACACCCTCCTTATACCATCTCGAAAAACATTAAAAGATCCCAATTTGTCCTGATTTGCAGAGCTCATAGAGCTGCATGGGATGTCATTAGAAACAACAGGACGATGAATTCTTAATTCATTAAGAGAATCATTATCTATGTTAGACTTCTCAGTCGGACTGCAGTACATCCCTTCTGCCTGAATTGAGGAATTTTCAGATGGATTCAAGCAATCAGACTTCGAAGAACAATCTAGTATCATGGGTCCTTGGACTGGCATATCATTGGCTAGAGAATTATGACAAAGAAAAAAAATTAGTTCGTTTGCAATAAGGTAATGATAATAGAAGATTGGCTTTTTATCCCAGGGTCAGGTATACCTGATGACAGATTGTGCCCAGGCAAGTCCATTGCATTAAAAGATACCTCGGCTAATTGCCTAGGTGGGCTTTCAAGGTTTTTGCTGCAGTGATGTGCATCATGGCTTGTTCTATGCACCAATTTTATGTGCCTACGTTTTCTTTTCAGACCTTGCAAACCATCCAAAGGTGAAACTTTTTGGCCGCTTGAACATCCAGTCAGCTCTGACCTGCTATCAGGAAAAACTGGTTGAACTGCAAGCGTCAAGTCGTAAGGAGTAGAGTGATCTTGAAGTTCATCCACGTCCTTCCATGCCAAGAACAAGCTGTTGTTGTTACTTAAAACAATTGCTTCACTTCTTGCAGCTTTCACTGCCATTCCATGTTTCAAAGCAGTGACTTTCTTATCAATGCACACCACAGCCATGAATGGATCAAGAATGCACCATTTCATTAGAAGAGAAGCAAGTTTTCCCAGGCCCTGAATTTTCTCATTAACTTCTACCAGAATATTTGCCAAGTCAGCCCAAAATTCATCAACATCTACCCACACTTTTTCTGCTTCATCATATGCTCCAGCATTTTGAGAAATGGCAAGTAATCTGGACCCACATGCTACCCAAGCTTTGGAGAGGGAGTTAAACATATGACCTTCAGGTGATGTATAGTAGGAATCAAATTGGCCATTTTTATATCTACCCTTACGTTGTCGGCTCTGAACTATCCAACCAGCATCCTTCAGAAGATGGCATGCCTGCGAGCGGAGCTGAAGGTTGAGATCCCTACTGCGGTATGGTTCCAATGATGCACGAACAATGCATAAGTCAAGAGTGTTAGGTTCTGTAGCTCTCTTTCCCTGAAGTTCTTGTGAACTGAGTTGAGCAGGACTATCCCGAGCAGTGGAAGCATCAGCCAATGCACCAATTAAATTAGATTCTGGAATATCAGGTTCTGTAGATTGTTGAGTTTGCGGGATTAATAAGTTGGAACATGGAGATACAGACTTCACTGCAGAAGCCTGCACTAACACAACATCGTCCAAATCTGGAGCATTAGACTCTTTGTTCACCGGATGAGAACCGCTGTGCGTTTGGCGATCCTCTATGGAATTTCGTAGTAGGTTTTCTTCTGCAGCGCTTTCGCTCAGGACTGCAAGTGAAGGGGTGGAAGCAGCAAAATCGACACCAGAAGGCAACCCCACTGAGCCTTCAACACTGTCTAGGTAAGGAATTTCTTTTGCACTTTGATCCATACATTTTGATGCTTTAAATGCTTCTTGAACAGCAATGGATATGTCAGATTTTGACAGAGCACAAGCACGGCTCTCTTTTGAATAGGGAGAAGATTTGGGTGTGGCTCCTATAAGCACTTCATCTCTACCACCCTCTTGGTTTGTCCATTCATTCTTTGAAAGCATTGTACCAAAATCATCAGAACTACTCAACAAAATTCGAAAATTATCGAAAGAGCAACTAGACAAGAGACCATGGCCGATGGACTCCACAACACAGCTTTGTGAGTAGAGTTGATTAGGATGCGCAGTAAAAGAACATGGCGCCGTTGAGTTGTTAGAATTTTGAAGTTCGCAGCAATTACGCACGTCAATGTCACTCCTCGTAATAGTAGTGACCAACTCTTTCATCTGTAAAGGATCGGATGATGACATCTTCAAACGCTTTGCATATGTACTATTCGAAGCTGTCATTGGCTCGAGACGGAGTCTCTTTGACTGCAAAACATGGTTACCGTCTCCATTATTCACTTTAGCCTGCCCTGAAATATTACCCAATGTATCATTCAAGGAAGGGGGATTAGGATGAACCAAGTTTTCAGTATTTGCATCTCCAGGTTGCTTATTTATATTGCATTCTTTAGACTGAGAATTCTCCATTTTGGATGCAGCATTGCTGAAATTTATTGTATTCACTTCATAGAGAACATTCATACATATCCGGCGCTCCTCCTCCGAGCCTTCAAATCTATCACAGCCCAACCATCTGATTTCTTCTCCGAACAGAATTACCATTGCCGCTTCCTCCTCCACACTCCATCTAATCTTAGGTCGCACTTCATCCATTTCCGTAAGTTTCAACCTCTCCTAGCTCAAGTCATCAAAACTCAAGAAAATCTTCGATTCAACCATCTAACCTGCAAAAAAAGCATTTGCATATTCAAAACATGAACAGAGAGACAGAATCATATCATCCCGATTCCCCATTATGGATAAAATCATCCCGTTTGAAAACAAAGAACAAAAAACACCTTAACGGATTCTTCTCATGCAATCCACTAAGTTTCCACAATTTATAAAAACCAAAGCAAAATGAAGCAACAATTCATTATCTTAATGAATGAATTACCTGTAGTTACATCATTCACCAAAATCATCAAAACCCAGCATCTGTAACTCTCATAAAAATTTTATAGAAAAAAAATGAAGTGATATCATGGCCAAAAACCTGCTTCAAAAATCACACAAAAAGAAAACAAAGAAATCTGAAAGCAACTTCTTTGGATAAAGTCCAACAGTATTTTCATAATCTAGTCACAAAATGATCAAGTCATTAGCTCTTCCACAGCATGCAAATCCCATCCATTGCGCAAACCCGCAATGTAACCCCAAAATTCACACCTCGACCCATCAAAACCCCATTCTAGAAAATAAGAAAAAAATTTATTAAAAAAAAAAAGCGTTGATCATACAAACCTAAAAAATCTCGTTCCAACAACCAAAAAGAAAATGCTCAGCAGACGACCCATTATATATCAACAACAGCGCTCTTCTCGGCTTAGCTAGAGCAAAAACCGGTCCATGCCAACCTCCTTGGAATCCTTCAAAGTGTGAACCGTGAGGCCACCCGAGGGTTTCGGGCCGAATAGAAAAGATTAGGTTGTACGGCCTGCAGGTGGAACATGTGAGAGAACGAGAAGAATACTTGGCGCTTCCCCAAGGTTGGCTTCGATGCCGACACCTCCTCCAACTCCCCTCTCTGTGGCGCGCGCGCGCCTGTGCGTTTTTTTGTTCCATTCGCGCTCGGCGATCCACGCGCGAAAGCCATGATAGCGATTTCGGCATTCTTCTCTCTTGCGTTTGCGTTGGGGATCGGAGAGGAAAATTTATTACGTGCGGTGTCATTCGTACAAAAATTATTCTGTGCCAATGACATCCGGAGACCAGTGAAATGCATGCATTATTGTAGAAACAGAGAAATGGAAGAAGACAAGAACTGGAATCAAGAGAGAAAAGCCGAAATATATATTTCTGTGTTTTCCATTACAAAGAGATATGTCCTTACTTATTTAAGTGCACAAGTCTAAAGAAGAAAATATGAGACAACCACAGAACATTCTGGAATAAGTACAAATCTTTAAATCCGAAATATAACTAGATATTTATATATTCTAATATGCCCCGTCAAATTGATGGGTCCGGAGTGACAGTCAATTTGCTCCGGAGAATGTTAAAACGAGGAGTAGATAGGGACTTTGTAAATATATCAGCAACTTGATCGATCGTTCTGATGGGATGAAGACGTATGTTGTTTTTTTTTTAATGTGGCCCTCAAGAATTTTTTATTGATCTCAATATGTTTCGTACGAGAGTGAAACATTGGATTGTTAGCAAGAGCAATTGCTGACATGTTGTCACAATAGAGATCAGTCGGATAGTTTTGTGGAATGTCAAAATCCGATAGTAATCGGCGAAGCCATACGATGTCCGAAGTCAGTGCGGCGAGTGCCCTGTATTCGGATTCAGTAGACTATATGGAGACTGTTCTTTGTTTCTTTACTGTCCAAAATAAGTGTATCACCCAAGAACGAACAGTAGCCCGACGTTGATTTTCTCGTAATCGGGTCGCCAGCCCAGTCAGTGTCTGAAAAAGATTTTAGAACTAAATTAGTTTTGGTTATAGGTAAGTCGTAGTGTAGCGTACCTCGAATATATCTAAGCAGTCTTTTGAGAAGATAGAAATGTGGTGGAAGAGGATCATACATATGTTGAGACAGTAGGTTAACGCTGAATGAGATGTCCGGACGAGTCAAGGTGAGATATTGGAGAGATCCTATGATACTTCGGTACCGAGCAGGTTCTTGAAGGATTTTGTCTGTCGTGAAATCTGTTGGCATTTTTGTGGAGTTGCAGTGCTGCAGGTCCGCTTGAAGTAGGATATTGTGTGCATACTTTGCCTGAGACAACAAATAAGAGTTTTTAGTTTTTGTTATTTTAATACCTAGAAATTCATGGACATCACCAGGATGTTTCATAGAGAATTCAGCGTTAAGTTTAGAAAGAATGAGTTGAATTTGTTTGGAGTCATTTCCCGTAATAAGGATATCGTCGACGTAAATGAGCAAAAAAATCTAAGCATGATCCTTGCGGTAAATGAGAAGAGACGGATCCGCTTGACTATGGGAAAAACCAAGTGTAACGAGGAATGAAGTGAAAGTGTTGTACCATTGACGTTGTGCTTGTTTTAGTCCGTAGATAGCTTTGTTTAACCTGCATACGTGATCCGGACGGAAGCGGTCTTCAAATCCTTTTGGCTGAGTCATATAACCCATTTCTGATAGCGTGTTGAGGAAGACATTTGCGACGTCGAGCTGTTGAACAGGCCAGTTTTTGTGTAGAGCAATTGTTAGCATAATTCGGATGGTTGGTAACTTAACTACCGGGCTAAATGTCTTTGTATAGTCGATACCAAACTCTTGATTGTTGCCTTGGGCGACCAATCTTTCCTTGTATTTAGCTATAGAACCGTCTGTGTGGTATTTTGTTCTATACGTCCATTTTGATCCAAGTACTGAAGCATTTTCCGGAGGAATGACTAAATGCCAGGTACCCTGTTTCTAAAGGGCGAAGATCTCGTCGACCATGGCCTTGCGCCATTGCACACTTTTGGAAGCCTCAGTATATGTAGTCGGATCGGCCTGTTGATTGCTTGATGTTTGAAGATGAAATAGGTTCAGCCTATTTGGTTGTCTGAGTGAACCTGTTTTGCTATGTGTAGTCATGTGATGTTTGGTGGACGGACAGATTGCAGGTTGACTAGCGACCGGAGGTAGCACAGATAATTGTGTCTTAATATTTGGATGCAGTTCTGTAGTGGGCGGAATCTGTGAAGCATCCTGAGAGTCGCTGATTGGATTTGTTATGGCAGCTGCATTAGGAAGACTAGTAGAGTAGGGAGTTAAAAGTAGAGGACATATTTCAACAGGTTTAGTGATAGTATCAACATGAGGAGCTGAGAACAGAAAAGTGGTTTCATGAAAAATAACATGCCGAGATACCGTAATTTTGTTGGTATAAGTGTTGAGGCACCGGTAAACTTTGTAGACGTCAGAGTAACCTAGGAAAACACAGGGTTGAGCGGTGGGCATGAGTTTGTTCCGGTTTTGTAAAGGAGACAGAGGATATCATTTGCATCCAAAAACTTTGAGTTCGTCATAGACTGGTTTCCTGGTTGTATATAAGTTCAATAGGATAAAGTTTTCAGTCGTGGATGATGGTAACCTGTTGATCAGATAGACGGAGGTGGTGATGGCTTCGGGACAGTAGGAGTTTGGCATGGAAGCCGTTAGAAGCAACATGCGAGTTGTTTCAATAATATGGCGGTGCTTCCTCTCAGCTAGTCCATTTTGTTCTGGAGTGTAAGGACACGAGAGCTGGTGAGTTATGCCATGGTTGATGAGGTAGTTTGTGAATGCCAAGTTAACAAATTCGGTCCCGCTGTCTGTGCGCAATGTTTTGATGCGTTGCGAGGTGAGATTTTCGATCTGAGTTTTAAAATTAACAAAGGTAGAAAACACATCAGACTTAAACCAAAGCGGAAATCCAAGTATAGCACATATAGTCGTCGACAAATATAACACAGAATTTAAATCCTTGAGCACAAGTGATTGGGGCAGGACCCCAAACAATGCTGTGTATAAGCGCTAGAGGATGAGTTTGCCAATTTTGAGTGCTGTGAAAAACGATTTTATGACATTTGGCGGTACAAAAATCACAAGAAGTAGAATGCTTATTCATTTTAAGAGTGGGATTACAACTAGAAATGAAATCAAAAACACGTTTTAATTTATGCGGATGTCCTAAGCGTTGTTTCCAAATCTGAGTAGCTGCCAGCTGAGCGAATAACGCCTGTTGTTGCTGAGACTGGGAGTTCATCGGAATTGTGTAGAGTCCACCGTTAGATGGTCCGCGAAGTAGCCTTTCCTAAGCCGCTAGATCCTTTAGTGTAAAACCATACGGGTCAAAAGTAATTAAGATAAAATTATATTTGGTTAATTGAGATATGGAAAGTAAATTGTATTTAAGCGAAGGACTGAAAAATTTGCGATAGCCGCAGCTTATGGGATGGGGTTGGAAGGATTCCTGCCCCGGCATGAGCAATGCTGACGGAGTTGCCGTCGCCAATGGTCACGTTGTCCGATCCGAGGTATGGCTTTGACAGAGATAGATTTTCCAAATAATTTGTGAGATGAGAAGAAGCACCGGATCAGTTGGCGTCTATGGTGTCCGAAGATGCCATCAGAGCCGTGTTAGCATTATTGGTAGGAGGAATGTATTGCATATCCAATATGTGCCAACACGATTGAGCGGAGTGACCTTTCTTGTAGCAGATTTGGCAAAGAACCGACGTGTTTGGGTTGTTCCGTGTAGTATTTGTGGAGCTGTAGTGATTCTTGCCTCTTGATCATATGCCACGACCTCTGTTAGCGAATAACGTCATGTTCGGATTATTCGCCACAGGAAAACGTGCTGCGTCTGAGGCAAGATTGATTTCCTCGCTTAGAAGGAGCGGATAGATTTGATCCAAACTGAGAGGTAGCGGGGTCGTTCGTATTGTGGTTTTGAACTACTGATATGGTTGGGGAAGACCATTTAAGATGTAGTGAATCACATCTTTGGCATCAACCGAGGAACCAGTCGAGGCAATTTGCTCCATGATAGCTTTGATTTCCGAGAGATATTCGGTCATGGACTGATTCTTGAGTGATACAATGTGTAAAGCGTTTTTAAGTTGTATCACTTTTGATCGATTGGTGGCTTGAAAACGGATTTCAAGAGAAATAACGTAGGGAAGGATCGAGGAGGAGATCGTGGAGCAAATGGATGCCGATAAGTTTTGATCGGTGAGCAACCATTGCGAGTAGTTAGGATTTGGTGAAGAAGAGCCGTCGGGATTCAGCAAGAATTGATGAGGAATTGGTGTCGTAGGATCAAGAAAGTGAATAAAACCGTTTACACGAAGAGTTTTAAGAATCTGAGATTTCTAGATAAGAAAATTCTCAGGGGCGAGCGGAGCTGTGACTAGATTTCATAGGTTGGAGACGACGAACTTCAACATTGCCGGAATCATTGGGTCGTCGAGGGAACCGTTGCTGCAATCTTGGATTCTGGTCGAGGAGGCGGAGTCGGCCATAGCACATGATCGATAACCTTTTCCTGATACCATGTAGAAACAGAGAAATGGAAGAAGACAAGAACTGGAATCAAGAGAGAAAAGCTGAAAGATATATTTATGCGTTTTCCATTACAAAGAGCTATCTCCTTATTTATTTAAGTGTACAAGCCTAAAGAAGAAAATATGAGACAGCCACAGAACATTCTGGAATAAGTACAAATCTTTAAACCCGAAATATAACTAGATATTTATATATTCTAATAATTATATACTGAATGTTGTGGTGCATTAATTTGATCTTCGAAAGCATTCAGACTCGGCAGGATTGCCCGCCTGTAAAAACCACAATGTAGCTTGATGATATATTAAAGAGCATCAATTTTTTTTTCTTGGCATATGGGAATTTCGATCACCGGTGAGAGATGAGGGAGAGCTTCCATAGACCATCTAGACGCTTACCCAATCTTCAAATATTTAGTTTGTAAAAGAACTGTGTTACCTAATGTGATGTGTGTTTATTTTAACGACTGAAATGCCTTTTATATATATAACTGAAAAGACTCAAGAGATCAAGATTATTTTATATGTGTATTTAATTTATGCTTTTAGCTATTTTATATTTTATTTTAAGAAAATAATTCTTAAGTATTTTCTATTTTTTAAAATAAAAATCGTGTCATCAACAACCAATCATAATCAATGATGCTCATTTCAACCTTTTTTAGTAAAAATAATACTATTAAAAATAATATATATATATATATATATATATATATATGCTTTAATATTGAATGGAGTAAATGTGTACGAATTTAAGTAAAAAATCTTACCACATGTTGTCTTCT